TAATTTAATTTTAACAACGATTTTATAAGGTAACAGTTTTACAGATGAGATCATTGCGATCGAGTGTACTCTGTCGTTAGTGGCAAACCCACAGATAGGGAGGGTCCAAGATCTTCTGGCTCCAAGACAAGGGGGGCATATGCTAGTCAGAGGGGACATAGTTTGCACATCTGGAAAGAGAATCAAATTCATGAAGTTACATACATTCATAATGTACTGGTGTCTGCTAAAAACTATGTCTCTTGAGTGATTTGGCCCTCTAATAATTGCTTTTATTAAAACTATGTATTTAATCTCCTCTAATACCTGCTTCCATAGTAACTAAGTCATTTTATGCTCACTGCGCTGTCCTCTCACATTTTCGTCTGTCCCTTGGCGTCTCTTACCATTTGCTTTTATTTTTCCTCCCCGTTCTGACTCACTTTCACTGTGAATCCCATCTTTCTTTAACTCCTCTTTTCATCTATTCCTTGATTCTGGAATTTTCCTCTGACCTCATGATTTGATGACTGCTTCCCTAACCCAGTGAATTGAGCATATTATGCTGGGAACAGCAGGCCTTGTTTTCATTTTGTCTGTGTCCACATGGCACCCTGTGCTGAACCGTGTGACTCCGAGAACACCCATTGGAGGAGGCTGCGTCAGGGAAATAGAGGCATAAGTAGGAAAAGAAGATGGGGAATGGGCATTTCATTTCAAAAATAAGAATGAAGAAGGAAACTGGTCTAATTAGACCTGAACTAACCAGCAACCCAGCCTCCAGGCAGATTTCCTGAATGGCTGCTTTCTGGGAGTGAGGCTTTGGAAGATTGGGGGATGTGGCCTTGGAGGGGCACAGTGGCAGATGGGAGCCCAAGGTCAGCTGCATGTCTCACTTTATGAGGTCATTGTTCTTTCCCCTGAAAAGAAGAAGTTAGCTCCTGGATACGGGGCTCTGCCTTTTCCTAAATTCACTAGAAGTTTCCCAACTCAACCTATTATCAACTAAAATGGATTTCAAATTATTGTTTTCTCTTAGAATATAAGAAGATACTAAAGATGTCTGTTGTCTTGAAAAGTCTAAGTAGCCGGAACTACTGTCTGTTCCATGGTACATGTCCTCTCACACTGCCAAGAGAGGGGAAGATTGAGAATTTGCGTAGGAACTAAGTTTAAGCAGTACTTGTTCGATTCCTGGACCCAGCTGAGTTAGGGAGCCAGAGGACCTTAGACGTTCCTACCATGGCTCTTCTGGAATCCTAACCCCTAGGGCAGGGGGCGGCTTACCTTCTGTGTCCATCTTTTAAATCTGTGCTTGGAATTGAAGCTAGCTCCGCCCCCCCCTTAAGATTTATTTATTTATTTATTTGAGAGAGGGCGCATGCATGCGAGTGGGGGAGGGGCAGAGGGGGAGACCCTCAGGCAGACTCTCCCGCTGATAGCGGAGCCCGGGGTAGGGCTCAACTCACCAGTTCAGGGCAGATCATGACCTGAACTGAAACCAAGAGTCCGTGGCTTAACCAAGGGCTCCACGGAGGCGCCCCCCTGCTGCTACTTCTTGATATAGACAGTTGTTTTAGGACTTTGACTGAAAGTACATGGGCCACGTGTAAGCATACATATCTATTAGCAGAAATAAATGACAGTGTTTACCCCCTTTCAATGACCTGCTTAACATTATTGTACTGAGTCTACAGATAGTCTCATAGGTTGCTGATGTCTGCATAGAACTAACACAGCCTTTCTGAGGGATAATTAGTAGTTTTCAAAATGTTCATGCCCTTTGACTCTGGAATCCAGTGTATAGGAAATCATCAAGATTTTGCCTAATGATTTTACTAGGAGATGTTCACTGTAGCTTCTCAGTAAACAGGGTAAGTTATCAATCATACATGAGACAAAATACTGTATAACCATCAAAAATATGTAAATGTGGCTGGGTTTTTAGACATAAAGGATCTTCATGAATCCTGTTGAGTAAATCATGTTTACAACAGTAAGTGCATAGAAATATATACAAGAAAATGTGTACGTATGCATAGAAGAAATAATCAGAAAGGATGGACCAAAATGATAATTATTTCTGGGTAGTGTGATTAACAGTCATTTTAATTAATAAGGGATAATTTTATTTTTCTATCCTACAATGAACAGGTATTACTCATGAAAAAGAAGATTATTTATTTATTTATTTAAGATTTTATTTATTTATTTGACACACAGACAGCGAGAGCAGGAACGCAAGCGAGGGGAGTGAGAAAGGCAGAAGCAGGCTTCCTGCTGGAGCAGGGAGCCCGATGTGGGGCTCAATCCCAGGACCCTGGGATCATGACCTGAGCTTCATGAAGGCAGACACTTAACAACTGAGCCACCCAGGCACCCCGAAAAAGAAAATTATTTAGCATTGAAACTGGCCTCTGGAGTAGATAGATGGGGCAAGAATCTGATGAACTTGGACCAGCAAGATGCTGCTTTCATTGGTGTATCAGCAGTGACACAAGGGGCTGATGGTACACTGTTAATTCAGACAAAAGGGTGTGGGTACAGGGGACTCAAGAGTGGGGCCAGCTCGAGAAGAACTTTGCAGATTGGTTCATATTTTTATTCTCTTTACCTAAAATGTCCTGATATTGTAGGATAATTATTTACCTTTCATTTTGACTTTAGATAAACTCTATTTTTAATTGTTTTCTCAAATAATAATATATATACAAAAGAATATTTACAAAGTTTAAAGTGTAGAAAATACTCATACCCGAAAATCCAGTGTCCCAGAAATGGAGCATTACCATTAGCCCTATAGAGATCCTTTGTTAAGTTCCCTGTTCCCATCTACACCCACTCCACCTCAGAAAATACCCTGGTCCTGAATTATTTTTACTCTAGTCTTGCTTTTCTTTATAATTTTATTTCTAAACAACATTTTACTTAGTTTTGCATGTCTTTGGTCTTCATATGGTGAGATTATATTTTATTATTCTTTTGCAACTTGTGTTTTTCACTCAGTGTCTTGTTTCTGAGTTTCATCCATGTAGGGTGAAGCTTACTCACATTACTGTTGTCAGTCGTGCTGGTGTAAATGCATCATGGTATACTTGTGCGTTCTCTGTTTATGGACTTTTGCATGATCCACAGTTTTTGCTACCATGAAAGTTCTTATTGATAACCTCTGGTGCTCATATATGAGTGTCTCAGGTATATACATAGGTGTAGAATTGCTGGATGGTAGGGTGTGTGAACTTACTACATCATGTTAAGTTATTTTCCAAGTTATTTGTCTCTCTTTATATTCTCACCAGCAGAGTATGAGAGTTTCCGTCCTCCACGTAGTCATCAACATTTGATAATGTCAGACTGAACTTTTTACTAATCCAGTGGATGTGAGATGATTTAATTTGTATTTCCCTAAACATCAGTGAGGTTGAGCATATTTTCTTGGGTAGCCCTTTGTGATTTCTTCCTATAGCAAATCTGTTTTGAGTCTTTGGGGCCATGTTTCTGTTGGGTTATTTCCATTTTTTAGCCTGGTTTGTAGGAATTCTGTTTATGCTGGGAACTCATCTTTTGCTAGTTATACAGATGGGAAAGACCTTCTTCCAATTAGTGGCATGTCTTTTAATTTCCGTATAGTGTGTGTGATGAAGAGACATTTGTCATTTTATTCACCCTTTCTTTCATGATTTGCCTTTTTTTGTGTCTTGTTTAAGAAGTCCCTTCCTACCTAGCGGTTCATAAACCCTATTGTCTTCTAAAGTGCTTATAATTTGGTCTTTGTGAATCGTGTGAAGGTGTCCAATTTTATTTTTTCTACATGGATAACTATTTGTCCAGGGACAGCTTACTAAAAGATCCTCCTTTCCCCACAGATTTATAAATGCCAGCTCCGTCATAGCTCGTGTCCTAAGTGAAGCTTCCATATATGTGGGGGCCTGTTTTCTGGATCCTTCAGAGAACATACATGTTTGAGGTATCCAGATGCCAGGGGGCTCTACTAGGGAACGTCAGTTTTTTCGACGAAAGGCATTTTTCTCACAGAACAAGTTAGAAGTGGTGCTGTTCCGGGGTCATTGTGCAGCACAGTGATGTCCTCAAGAAGCCAAGCGCTTCCCTGTTTCCCTCCACCAGCATCAGTTCGTCTGTGATGTCTCCCCACAGCCACTGCTGCTCCAGGTTTCGAATCCACATGATTTCCACGTCCAAAGTGGAAAAAAGTCACAGTGCTGTCTTATCTCCAGCTTCTTTGGGGCCACCCACGTAGTGTGCATTCAAGTTGCTAGTTCACACAGTCCCGCTCAGGGTGAGGAGTCTCAGCGGGATCCTTTTGCCATCCATCCAGTGCTGAGTGTCAAGGCTGCTTGCCTCGCAGAGGCCTGTGGGCAGTGATGGTACTGATTTCCAGGTCACCTTCCTCTCGGGGTGCAGCCCTGTGGGGATGCAGAGCCCCTCTCCTCCTTGGGTGGCCCTAGGCTTTGTCCTCTGCCCCCTGCCCCCCAGGGGACAGTGAACACCGAAGCTGGAATTCGTCTGGATGGCAAATGTGGAACTAATGAAAACTTTTGTTTACACTTCTGGCTTCCCACTTTGACGTAGTTCTTTGGCTTCTTAGTATTCTTTACTTTCTTGGCAGCTCATTACACATTTAGAAAGATTTTTTTTTTTCTGGAATTTTTAGTTGTTTTTTATTTCATTTATTTAGTTTTTAAAGATCCCATTCATTTATTTGAGAGAAAGAGAAAGCACACACACGAGCCGGGTGTGGGGGGCAGAGGGAGAGGGAGAAGCAGGCTCCCCACTGAGCAGGGAGCCCGACATCGGGCTTGATCCCAGGGCCCCAAGATCATGACCCAAGCTGAAGGCAGGTGCCCAACCGACTGAGCCCCCAGGCGCCCCAGGAATTTTTTAATTGTTTTTTAGCAGGAGGGTCTGTAAGTGTATCTGGTTTATCTCCAGACTGTGGAGACACAAGTTGGCTAAATTCATTTTTTTTTAATTGCATTATGTTTTGTCACTCTTGCCTAAAGGTTTGTTGGAGACTGAACCATTGCAAGGACGAGATGAAGACACAGTAGCCAGTGCCGACTTCTCTAGCATGCTGTCTGAGGAGGAAAGAGAAGAGTTAAAAGCAGAATTAGTTCAGGTATGTTTAGTCATCTTACTGTTGTTCTATCTCAGGATCTTAGGAGTTAGTGTTAGTTTTGTATAAGTCCCATGTTATAATTATGTTGTTTTTCATGTATCTATTTATTTATTGAGAGAGTGCCAGCAGGGGTGGGGAGCGGGGCAGGGTTGGGGGGGAGAGAATCTTAAGCAGGCTCCACAACCCAGCATGGAGCTTCATGTGGGGCTCGATGTCATGACCCTGAGATCATGACCTGAGCTGAAATCAGGAGTCGGATGCTTAACCGACTGGGCCACCCAGGCGCCCCTGTTGTCTTTCATTTAATAAGATTTAATACATGATATATTGTAAGGTAATTCATTTTTTTCTAGGATGTTTTTGTAATTCTAGTTGTCTATTATCCACTGGTTGTAGTAGAAAAAGGAATAGCTATGTTGCTTAAGCAATAATGACAATTAGCTGTAAATATGCACCTCTTATTCTTTTTAATTTCACAATATTATGGGAATCGTAATCACTTACAGACCTGATGAATTCTTCCAAGACCTTGGTATAGGTACAGGGGCAAGCTCCTTTTTAAGAGCAGTTCTTGCTTTAGGTCAGAAGCTTAGCTCAACAAATACTTTGAAGTGATTTATTTTTGTAATTAAAAGTCAGTCATAGAAGCACCTAGATTTCTTAAGTTGTGTACTCATTTGCTGAAGAATAAAGTTCTGGGGGCAGAAAGGAAAGCTATGGTGAATTCAGGTTTCCTTAATTCTTGTGTAGTTGCTGTGGGCCTCTGGACTTAGAGGCGGGGAGGATGCCTGGCTCATCAGGAATACAACTTTTGTTACAGCCAATTGCTTACAGCACCCGCTAACCCTTAAACACTTTGCTAATGAGCAGTTATGTTGTGGGAGGAAAGCACTGGAGAAAGGGAGCTTTTCAAGGAGAAGAAGCAGTAGGGCCAGAGGGATGAGGCCCATATTCCTCCCCATTCTGTGTCCCTGGATCCGAGGATAGGAAGCTCCTCCTGGTCCAGCCAGAAGCAGGGCTCTGGGCTCAGTTGCAGGCTGAGGACACAGCTTTGAGCTCCACCTCACCCTCACGTGCTTAGTCCGCTCCAGGCTCTTCAAGCTCTAATCCTCTGGCCGTGTTTGTTTAAGACAGCTTATAATAATTTTAAAGACTTTTTAGGTGCTTTCAGAAAGCACACCCAAAAATAACTTCATTATAAAATGAAAGAGCAGCTTGTTTTTCTGATACAACAGAAATTATTTCAGTAAGCATGGTGCCTCCGATCAAATAGCCTGGTTCTTGAGCCGGGTCTGTCTGTGGCCACTGATCTAGAACCACCCAGTCGACTTCAGTTGGCTGCATATGCCGGCACGCACCGACCAAAGTCAGCTGTGGAGGAAAATGTCCTAGCTTCGTGTTTCCTTACGGCCCAGAATTCTGGTTCATGACCAGCTTGTTCATGTCAGTTGTGGTGTCCAAAAGTTATATTCCGCAGGCTGGTATCAGCTAACTGATTCTAAGCTAAAACTTAATTCCTTCACTGTTATAGTCCAAGTTTAAGTTTAGACAAAACCTCTGTAGCCGACCAACCTTCAGAAAATGCCTTGAGTTTTCTGGGTTCTGGGACTGCTGGGGTATACACACACACATATATCAGTGTGTTTTTTGTGTGCGTTCATTTTCTAAACGTTCAACAGTGAGCGTGCATTACTTTTCTACTCAAGAAAAAGTGAGCCTTGGTTCTAAGTGGATGCCCCTGTAATACGAAAAACCAGTGGTGTTTCCAGAAATTCCTGTCTCACTTGGCCACATTACTAAGCTTCCAGCACATCTCATTACTAAGACTCTTGAGCCTGACTTCTGAAAGTAACACCAGACCCCGTTACTATGTTCAAGTTACCAGGATTCATGTTCTCATCCTTTAGAGTGCTTCCTCTCTCTTATTTCTGGATTCTTCAGAAATGAAGAAGTCCTGCACGTTGCCAGAGTGGCTTCGTGACTCCCAGAGGCACATGGGCGCAGCTCTGTGCCCCAGGCCCAGTGAAAAGCAAAGGAAATATATCTTTGCTGTTTTTTCTCTTCACATTTCCATTTCTTCTCCCTCCACCTCAGGCCACCTCTGCATAATGCTCATCCTTTTCTTAAGTCTGCTTTCCCTGCCCTTCTGCAAATGCATGCTGCTGTGTGTGTGTGTGTGTGCGCGCACACATACAAACACTTGCTCACACACATGTGCATGCACGCTCACATACCCACCCCAAACCAGGTTCTTTCAGATCACATATGCATTCAAATTAGCTCAGATGCTAGTGTTTCATTACAGCAAGGACACACAGAGAGCAATCTCTTCAGTCCCACAAGTGGCCCTCCAAAGACCAGAGACAGCTTTTAGATAGCCCAGCTTCCTCAGCTCTCCACAGACATTCTTCCTGGGCGCCTGGTCGCAAGAAACCCCTCTCTGTGCCTGACGGAAGATCCAACTCGATCCATTTGCCACTTGGATAACAGGACACCTCACAGGCCCGCCTAGTAGATTGCCTTTGAGTCAGGCGATCATTGGTGGCCATGACCGAAAGCAAGAGCTTTGTGTACGAGGACTTCTTATCTCTGACTCCCTTGTTCACAAGGGTCTAGGAATGTGCCAGCGATCCAGTCTCCTCCTCAATGTGCTCCTCTCCTTCCTGTCCTCAGATTCTCCCACTGTCTCGTGACTATGTTGGATCCCTCCCTCCTGCTTTCTCCTGCACTATTTTGTTGCTTATATGCCCAAGAGGATGCCCTTATACTTCGGGCAAACTCATAACTGCACTCATCCACACAGCCAACATATTGTTGTGTGCTACCGAGTGCTGGCAACAGAAGATCCGTCCCTGTGTCAGGAGACCTAAAATAAGCCAATATTGTCCAAAAGGCTACATCTTAGATGAAGTTTACATTTTAAAAGAGGAATCTGTTATTAACACAATTTAGTCTTTAGTTTATTATTGTGATCTTGCAGTATGTGTATTTTTAAAAGTTTCTTCATTGTGAGGCCAGTATCACCTCTGATCTGCTGCAGTAGTCTGTCTATAGAAGGTATACAATTAGATTTATAATGAACTTGAATTATTTTATAGCTTAAAGAAATATTTACTTTTTTTAAGTTTATTTTTTTTAGTAACCTCTACACCCAACATGGGGCTCGAACCCCATGGCCCCAAGATCAAGAGACACATGTTCTACCATCTGAGCCAACCTCGTGCCCCAAAATATTTGCATTTTTAAATACCAGAAATTGAATATGCTTTCTTACAAACCTTACCAATATATAAAGACATACCATTTTGTTTCAGCTATTTGTTCTCACTAGCTCCTGACATCTTTTTTGAGGTCTTTACACATTTATTCTTTGGGTTTTTTTTTTTTTCTCTCACTCCCTTTTTATTTTAAGATTTTACTTATTTGAAAGAGAGAGAACACAAGCAGGAGGAGGGACAGAGGGAGAAGCAGACTCCCTGCCAAGCAGGGAGCCCAATTCAGGGCTCCATCCCAGGACCCTGAGATCATGATCTGAGCCAAAGGCAGACGCTTAACAGACTGAGCCACCCAGGTGCCCCTCTCTCTCTCTGTCTTTGAATAAACTTGCTCACTCTTTCTGTGCTGCTTCCATCCTATTCTACTTTTACTTCACAAAGCCGCATGTTACTCTTTGTATTCCATAACGTTCATGGGCTTTTGAAAAGGATGAAATGTTGGCATCAGTACTGTAAATTTATGATTATATAACCATCAAATACTGCCAGTGTCCTCTAGATAAAATGACTCAAGAAAAATAGGCATTAATAGGAGTGGGAAAAACACCAGGCAATATCATCAAGTAGGCAAAGCCAATTTTCAGGCTCCCTTCGTCTCCCTTTGGACTCTTCTCCATTCCTTTGGTGTGTGATTCCCCAGGAAGAACACAGTACCCTCAAGCCACCTGTGTCGTAGACTCACAAAGAAGTGCCTTAGGCTCTGGGCCCCTCCCTCTTAGTTGCCTCCTTCAAGGCCTTCTTCACTCTTTCTGGACTCAGTAGTGAGCAACTGAAGTGTTCATAATCAGTAATGTCTTATTGTAATACCCTTCTGTATTAGAGTCCTTCAGAGAAACAGAACCAGTAGAGATTTTACAAGGAATTGGCTGATGTGATTATGGAGGCTGATGGTCACAGGATCTACAGTCAGCAAGCTGGAGACCCAGGGGAGCTGATGGTGTAGCTCCAGTCTGAAGGCCAGCAGGCGTGAGGCCTAAGAACAGCTGATATTACAGTTTAAATCTGAAGGAAGAAGAACAATGTCCCAACTCAAATGCAGCCAGGCAAGAAGAGTCCCTATTTCTTTTTTTTAAAAGATTTTATTTATTTATTTGACAGAGAGAGACACAGTGAGAGAAGGAACACAGGCAGGGGGAGTGGGAGAGGGAGAAAGCAGGCTTCCTGTGGAGCAGGGAACCCAATGCGGGGCTCGATCCCAGAACCCTGGAATCATGACCTGAGCCGAAGGCAGACACTTAATGACTGAGCCACCCAGGTGCCCCTAGAAGAGTCCCTATTAACTGAAGGAAGGTTCAGTTTGTTCTATTTAGACCTTCAGCTGATTTGACGAGGCCCACCCACTTTGGGAAGACAATCTGCTCTCCTCAGTCTCCCAATTCAATTGTTAATCTTATGCAGAAACACCCTCCTGGGCACATGCAACACGATGTTTGACCAAATGGCTGGGTATCCTATGGCCCAGTCAAATTGACACATAAAAATAACCATTGCACTCTCTCAAGTTGTATCTGGATTTTAATCTTAGTTCTTAGGAGTCTTAGCCAAAGGCATGATTAACCAGGAGAGGAGGCTGGCCTTGAAGCAGTGGATGCAAGAGACCAAATACTCTTACTCCTAAGCATCACACTGATGATTTAATAGTTTATGAAAGTATTTCTTTGTCCGGATATAAGTTAGATATTTTATGTCATCTAGCAGATAAAATCGGAGAGTAAATTTTCAATC